TGTTATCAGTGTTTAGTATAAATTTAGAACCTAATACTTTTATCCCATATTTAGAAAATAATAAATTATTTAATTACAAATCTTTCTTTTTTTTAACATTAACAAAACCAGTGCTATAGACCAATTAATACGACCTCCCTTTTTTATTGATACAGAAGGATATACAAAAATCATGGAATAGCATACCAGTTACCACAGAGTTTGGACACTCGAAAGATCCTCGGACTGAAGAAGAAACGCGGATTTACCATCTGCGGACGGAGCTTTGTCTATGACAAGGACGGCATTTCGATATTCCATAAGCCATTTAATCTAGATTCTAGATTTTATCGCTAATCGCACATGTATGAAAATTATAAAATTACTTTCTACAATATACTTTGGAGCCGGTAGAATTTGAAGACACAACCTGCTTATTATAAGCTTTATGTTTTATTGTTTTCAATAATCAATATTTAATTCGTGAGATCATGGATATAACTTCGTCTTTCGCTTTTATTTTTAGCAATTACAGATTTTAATTGTAAAAAAACAACCGATTGTTCTAACTACGTCATTGTCGATATTTTTTTACTTGATATGCGTTGATAATGAGCTATTATAATCGTCGATTGATAACATAGCTTTATCTGTTATTATGCAAATGTCCCACCAACAATCAGTTCCAAGAATGTTCAGGTGTCTATTACCAATGGTAATTAGAGCGACGTCCTTGAAGATGGCGTTTAAAATCAAACCTTCCAATGAAATAAGACGCAAGTAATATATATAATATTAACACCTGACCTTTCGACAAATTATTTTTTATTTTGAAGAAACTCGATTTGATCGCAAATATCACGTCATCTTGGTTGTATAGTCTAGATAGACCAGAGAGAATAATTTTGTATCTATTCATCGTTTAATTTGTTTGAATATCAACAAAAAACTCATTACTTTGTCAATAAGTACCATACATTGAGTTTCAATGCTCAAATCAGCTCAATGGTCTCAAATATAATTATATGAACCATCACAAAAACTCTCTACTTGTGCAACACAGGAAATAGTTTCGAAATATTTGATTCAGGTAAAGACCCGCTTGACCCATAGACAAAAGGAATGCGAAGGCATTTCATGTTCATTAGAAGCGTCAAGGACTGGGATCTGTTATCAAACGTAACGATCTCAGGAGATACACCGATTGCATTGAACTGGTCCCCATTTGGGTGGCGTTTGTAACGCACGTGTGCTTCACACCAGCCTTTGGTACACATGCTGCTTTATACAATTGTATGACTTATTCATCTGTAATACAGGACATAGTGCGATATCATGGATGTTGATACAGAAATATTGTTCCTAATAAATATTTCTGCTAAATTGGGCCTTATATTGACGAGATAAGAGTCAATCAAAACAGAGTCATAAGCTGTATTCTATCGGCTTCGCTACAACGATGGCCGTGGCGTCGATATGTCTCTTAGATATATTATTAACTCATTTTACGATTGGCGTCCGCTGGTCTGTTAAGACTTGGTCAGTATTAAGTTTCTATCAATCCGCTGTCGTTGTAGATATGTGCAATAAAAATGTTATTATATCTATACTAGATAAGGGTTTAATCTAGGTACACTTTTAAAACATTATAAATAAACATGTAGACATTTATTTGTATAAAATAATATTATACTTACATGACATTAGACTGATTGACCAATGCCACTATTGGTCTAAACTAGAGCCGAAGCCGATCAATCGGCTTTAGGTCAGGCGTATAGTTGTTAGTATATTATTACGGCCCGACGAATAATAACTACGTTTTGATGTTTGATTTACAGCAGCCCTTATACTGATAATTTGGCTACAAAGTTTTGCCTCTTTTATTTGTGTAGCCGGCGGATGTCCTTCGTATGCGACAAAGAGATAGCGCCTTCCTTTACTCATCTATTAAAACAAAGATATTATTTACAATCTCTTAGACACGTAAGCTAATGTAAAAATAAACAAAAGAAAGAAACCGATATCGAAGCCGAAGCTTCGGTCAGATCTTGTGAGTCAAGTAGAACGGAACGCGCTGCTGTAATTCTACAAATATTTATAACCAGACCATATACAGGGAACTACCAAGTACGTAGGCATACTATCTGTTCTCAGTACTCACACATAGACACACGTACGGCTATAACTATACTATTTCACCCACACAAGGACATATGAGTCATATTGGAATAGTTGTTTATGATTTATGAACAACGCTGTTGAATCAATAACTAAATTGAAAGTACGATACGACCATTGAAATATAACAGATCCTTTGCTTTGAACATTGGCCATGTCTATGAAGTTATGTAGCTACAGGTGTATGACTCGCACTGTTAACATTTTATCTATTACATTAGGTATTCTATGGATTATACTTAATGCAAAGAAATCACACCACATAACAAAATCTGATTTTTAAATATGAATACTAAACCATACAATGCCTAATTCATATATTTATTGTAAAACTTTTATCGTCTAATAAAATTTTAATTGTAACGTATACTTGCTCTCTGTCTTGTTTTATCACGTAACTAACGAATATGCTTAGAATTGATTTATGTCGATATAATTTGCAAACTAGTAAGTTAATAGTAAGAAAAGTTGCTCTTTGTGGATTTCCCCAACCAAGTATGATGTTAAAAAATGTACTTAATAAAAAAGCAACGAAGCCTAACAAAGAACCACAATTACATATATTAATTACCCAAAAGGAGCAACCTTCATATACATCATCTATGTACTTGTATTGCGTTATTCTCGTTGATGGTTGATTTATCATTATGTACCTATTTTTATGAAATACAGCAAATAGCTAATTCAATATTTCAAAATCAGTTTTTACCTATACATCAAACGTGTACCTAGTACTTTGAACAATTACTAAGTATACACATACAATCCTATATATTATGTCATATTTTAACATATAATAAATATGAATATTTTTGCGTCCCCAGGGACTGTATGTGTTTAGAAATATATGACTTAAGATTGGCGATAATTATTATGCTATACTCATAGCTATAGACCAATTTCTAGGAACTGGTGAAGCAGATTTATTAGCCGACTTAAGAGAAAAATTGCAAACAAAGAAATGAGTATCGACTAGTCTACAGTAATATTATGTATGCATGACGTCACACCGGGTTAAATTACAGCGCACTACGACCTTGTTTTGCTGTCGCCTGTCAGTATAATTTGAAGAACAAGGATGACAAATGATAGCTAATGGGTACCAAGCTCAACACGTAGCTTAGAATGGCGAATGATCAATTCCTTTTAAGATTATAACGAATTGGTATTTCTTATTTTCGGTGTAAAATGTCGAATAAAGAATATCCAAAAGAAAATTTACTGTGAAATACATACTTATCTAACATATATTATGTACTATATAAAGGTGAAGAGTATCTTTTGTTGTTTGTTTCAACGCGCTAATCACAGGAACTAGTGTTTCGAATTGAAAAAATATTTTTGTGTTGGTTAGAAAATTTATGGAGGAAACTTTAGGCTATAGAACGTCACACTGCGACGTTCTATACGCAACTAGACGCAAGAGCGAAGAAAAAGTAGAAAATGTGAAAAAAAAAACGGGGTTAATTATTCATCTTCGTGGGTTTTCGTTGCGTGCGTTGCGAAACGGTTCAAAATACCCAAAAAAATATGTATGAAGAAAAAGAGGCAATCCGACAATATACCTATGTCTATCTATTAAGATTAACTTGCGGGAACTTGCAACGACAGGACGCGGAAAACATCGATAAAAGCTAAAATTTATAAAGATGAGGTGAAGGTTTGCAAAAACAAATTTTGAAGTCTAAAATAACTATTCTGTACGAACGAAGTCGCAGGCACAGCTAGTATAGTATACATATATGTTATACTTATTAAAATATACTTCTCTCAATTAAAATATTTCATATAAAAAGTATGAATAATATATTTATTATATTGTTATTGTTACAAAAGAACCATTAGCGCTGATGATTCACGTCATTAAGATGATTAACGTCAATTAAAAACTTAATTTTACAAATAACAAACATCAATTAAAATAATAACGCTTGATGTTACCTATTTATCTATTTATGTTACTACGTAGATACATATTTTATTTATTTTAAATAAGCATTAAAGTAATAATTTATAAACATGTTGTGAGATACATTTACGTAAGTAGGGCATAGGGCAGACTAATTTCTTGGTAACAGTAGTTATTCATCATTCATGATCATTGATCAGACTTTTGTGCCCTGTTCTAAATAATATTTTCCCAGCACCCAAACCTAGGACATCTCGCTAAACAAAATGCAAGGCAATGCCCAACCATTGTCTCAGTCGGTCAACATTTATTGCGTCATATATTTTAGATTTGTCAATTTCTCATGTCAGTGGCCCGGAATATCTTTCGCCTCTTATGGCCCCACATAATGAGAATAGATGAATTTTTAATTAAGCAGCTTGGCCGGATGTTACAACTGATGATTTTCAATAAATACAATACAAAGAGCTAACAGGTATGAGTTTTTTTTATATCAATATTAATCGTATTGTTCCGTTAGTTATATCATTTAACTTAGAAATAAGAAGAGTTAGAAGCAAGTTACATATAACTTATATGTAACTTGCTTCTAACGCCATAACCCAGAACAAAAATATCATTTTTGCATTTAAAACAGTTAACGTTCAAATTATGAATCGACCAGTGACCAGTAAAAAAATCGTTAACTTTTAAAATCAAGTGTTATGTAATTGTAGTTAGCTTCTTAAAAAAATAATTATTGAATTAATACAATGCAGTTTACACATAATATTATTATCAGTTAAAGGACGATGGTTTCACGGTCACCGGATCCGAGGTAGGCGCGATGCAAGTGTTATCGCTCTACCTACCCACACAAAAAACAACTGACTTTCCTCGAAACGACGCTGGCGCTAAGTTGCCAACGCGTATTGAAATGTATAAGCAACCCCTAACTTGAATAGTACTTACACTCTTTTGAAAATGCGTCGGTCGAGTTGAAATAACTTGTTGATGTGAGTTGCGGCAACGCGGGGGTGGAGAGGTGCGGCCGGGTGCAAGGGGGCAAGCGCCGCTGAGCGACGGCTTGTCTACGGTCGCGGCGCGGCGGTGAGCCGGCGACACCCTGTCTGCCACGGACGGCGAGGTTGCCGCGCCGTTCACATTCTTGCTCGCCTGAACCCTCCGCCCCGCGTCCCGCGAGCCCACAATCCGCCCGCGCGTTGTGTCCGATCGGCAACGCCGCGAGCAAACTTGTTTCGTAAACGGATGTGGCAGCGACCAAGGCAGGGCTTGGCTCACTATCTGTTTCTTTCCCTCGTATTTAGCCTGACGAGTTGAAAAGAGATAGAAATGGTGGCGCTACGTGCTATCGGCTCCCACTTGCGGCATTTTTTCACGCCGAGAATGAGGCGAGATTAATGTCTAAAGCTATGTCCACAATATACGTTGGAATCTTAAAAAAACTTGTAAAACGATTATACGGTTTAAAAAATGTAATAAATGTTTTCCGATAAGTTTCCAAACTTTGAATACGTGAATATTTGTCATCACTTAGCAAGAAATATTAATATGCCTTCGTAAAATAAAAAACTTGTTTTCATTTAGAGTATAACCACTTACAATGTCCAATTAATTTATTCAATGAATATCGCGTACACACGAACGATGCAACTATCGTCTGAAACTTCCGTTAATCATACGATAGTGTGCAGTAGGCTTAGTAGATATATGCGGCTCAAGCCGTGCGCTGGTGGCTCGAGGCCCGTCGTCTGTACGCGCCGCAGGCAATAAGCCCGACGCCAACATCCGCGCCGCGCCGAGCCGCGAGCGAGCGACAGTCAGTTCGGCGCCGACAGCCATCACGCGTACACGTCTCCCTATAAGAATGGCCGCTGCCCACACGCACTCGGCCCCCGCACCCTCCGAGCGTCGCCCCGAGGGCCGCGCCGGTTCCCGCCGCATATTCCCACCACAATTCAAACTCCAAGTTCTAGATGCGTATCGAAGAGACGCCCAATGTCGTGGAAATCAGCGTGCGACGGCGAGGAAATTCGGAATTCACCGTCGGCAAATTCAGAAATGGCTGCAGGCCGAACCGGCTCTTCGAGCGGCGCTTTTGAGAAGGGCTCCACAGCCCGCTCCGTCGCCGCCGCCGTACTCCGTCGGTTCGCCGGAGAGCGCTCGCTTGCCTTCGCCTCCTCCTGCGGCCTTACCCACCGCAGTGCAAGCGCCTACGACGATAGCGGCGCCCGTTCCGATCGCGCCTTACACACCGGAACCCATAGATTTGTCCTTGAAGAGGCTCTCACCGCCGCCTGCACCAATTCCGTCCTACGCCCTGCGAGCTCCGATGGCTCCGGAACCCCCGAGGAAGCCGTTTAAGCTGTTCAGACCTTACCTCCTGGAGGACGACGAAGAGAAACGGCCTGCGTTAGCGTCTCTTCCAGTGACGAGTGGCGTCCACGTGTCTGCCTTCGTGCCGGTGCAGAGCGCAGCGGGCTGCTCGCTGGCCGCGTGCGCAGCGCCGCGTTGGTGTTCTCCTGGACCCGCTTACCCGGCTCCACTCAGATGAGACGCCGCCGGGGTCTCACCCCTTCCCAACTGTGATCTAGTCGCCGACGACGCCTTCCTGGCGCCGCCCGGGGCGTAGCCCTCCAACACCGTGCCTTAATTATATTATGTCGCCATAGTGCTTTACGCTGTCGCCAGAAGTCGACCGCTTATTTTGTGTAAGATAATAGATTAGATATAAGTTTTAAAATATGTATTTTTATAAGTGGGATTTATAAAGTATAACATTATTGCAGATTATTAATATACGAATAAATATGTTGTTTACTAAAATATTTTTTTCATTGCCTCGAGAACTCCATTTGAGCGGCGAGCGGGCAGGTAGCGCCGGCGCCAACCTTCATACCTGATATAATCCCCTTACATTACAAAGGAACTTCGAACAATACCTACTTTGTTGTCGCGTTCATTCATTACTATGTAGGTATGTGCTATTTGAGTACCAAGAAAACTTTAGTAAGCGTTAATCATTTATTTGTCTGTGTTCATGTTATCTATTCTGTAGTACTTCAAACCGGAAACGGTAAGAAGAAGTTTAAAATAGAGTCAAAATAAAAAAAAGAAAACTTATATCGTAACAATTTTAGGAAGTAACTTTATAAGTGTAATACAACGAAATAATTATAACTCTTAGATTTTCATTTAGCTCCAAAGATTATAGATATAAAGTAACACAAGTGGTACTAATCTTTGTTCGATTCTAGAGTCACCTCTACCCGATAACAAGCCGCAAGAGCATTTAACAACGTCATAAGAGATATACTTTTGTGTTCTGACACATAAGATAGTGTTGTAATTAGATACTTATGAATAATGATGTTTTTCAAAGCTTAAATGGCTTTACTCATTACGTTGGAAAAGTTTTGAATCTATATCTTACTTAGTTACTTATATATTCAATGACGAACAAAGTAGAACTCGGTTTAAAATTAGCTTTAAAGTTAGAAGCTATGAAGATACAGAGATATCTCATATGTATATAAATTCAATTGAAATATTCATAAAAACAAATGATTAAAAAATTATGCCTGAATAGTAGTAATACACTTGTTTGAATGGATACCCAAGGTTACAGTTTGATCGACGATTATGAAAAAACATGCATGTCTTATAATTAAAAATCGATTATACTTATGTGTCACCTACAAATTGCTTTGGCCGATGTGATTAGTTTTTTTTGCCCTATGAAAGGATATTCTGAGTCGACTAACGACGTGGTTTAAAAATATCTAGGTATACCAAAATTATAAAGCTTTTCTTTGTTTGTTTGAAGAGGATATTCGCGGGAACTACTGGTTGGACTTGAAGAATTCTCTCTTTGTGTTGGTTAGAGCATGTATTGGAGAAGGCTTTAGGCGATAAAACATACCGATTCGACCAATAGGAGCTTAGAAACAGTGAATAATGTGGAAAAAGAGGGAAAATGATTCATTTTTAAAGGTTACTGTTGCGTGCGCTGCGATAATGGAACATGTGACTCAAAGAATATGAATGAAAGAATGATTCTTCTTTAAATTATCTAAAAAAAGTCTCAGACAGTATGTCTATTTTTTTAAGATAAACTCGCAAGAACCCCGGGATGTGGACGACTTCGTTGGTAACACTATAATTTATAAAGCTGTGGAAGTTCTATGCAAAAATAAATATAATGACGCCTAAAATAACTATTCCACGCGGATGAAGACGCGGGCACAGCTAGTTCATTATAATTTTGAAGTGCATTCGCTTAGTTTAAATATTTATTATTACGAATTACAATTTTATTACTAAACAATTAAACGAGGATTTGTGGAAAAAATCACTTTTATCAAACGCACACATTTTTTATATATACATAGAGTTAATAAAAAAGTTTGTAAGTATGTATTATATTTGTCTGTGGACTCATTCGTGCCAATTATTGATACTAATTTATTATCTATGACCTATTCAGATCACACATGGTGTTATGCAGTGTTGGCAATTGTCGATAGATAACAATTGCAGTCAATAATTATTTTGTTTTCGATTGCGCAATTGCATATTAATATCTACGTAAGTAGATACTTAAATGCTGATAACGTTGTATATTAGCGATGATATTAGTGTAATTTTATTATATTTTAATAATCCTAATATGGTCGTCTATTAACTACATATATTTTCTATTACAGACAAGCATAATTTAATGTCGGATACACCAACTCTATGACATTTACTTTAGTTGGGATGTCGACCTATTTTGACTGCGGACATTCGAAAATTCACTTCATCAAAACTTATACGAGAATACTATGTAACTCAAAAATTAATATGAATTATTAACCCAGTACAAGCCTTAACAAGAAACGAGTAATGCAGAGTATACACAATGAATAAATGTTGTATTCGTGTGGATAGTCATATACATATATCCAAGTGAAGCAACCAACATTACTACTATTCGTAGTAGACCAAGGAGTTCGTTGAAAATGATACTAGAATAGCATCTGTCTTAACTCAAATTTAACGTGAATTATTAAATGAGTACCAAGCCTAAACTAGATCTAATAACAAAAGACACCTTATGTTTAGTAGAGTTACACAAAATGAGAGTAAATTGTATTCGTACATAGCATTACGATCGACATTGTCTATAATCTCATTTGTTGTCTTCTAGAACTGCTGAGCGCTACAGAAACAGATAATAAATGCAATGAGGGTCATTCGTGAACCTACTTGCCGCTTACGATGTATGGCGACGCGCAGTCTGGCGTGCCGGTCTCCCGTCAAGTGTTCACATGCTATTTGTTTTAGCTGTGGTATGTCAAGTTTTGCTTATTGAAGATAAGATATACGTACAACTGTAGAGATTATACCTTAAATACTGTTTGGAGATTCATTTGTTGGAGTTAAATGAGACGATTTGAGAAAAGGGGTCAAAAAGGTACCTTAACACTTTAACAACGGTAATATTCTTATGATATAAAAATGGCCGTCTTAATGTTTAAACGCATTACGTTAAGCGATTACGTGTTGTAGTGTAGTGTAGTGGTATCGTATGTGTAGGATACCTCCAGAAGTTCGATCAAATATGTTCTGGTAAATCAATAACTATAGGTAACAAGTAACAACTATAACCATATCTATAGGTAATAACTAACAGCGAAATATTAAAATGTGTCTAACCTGTGTCTTAAGCAGTAAAATGGGATTTCACACATGTTACATATAAACTGTCATTTTATCTTCGGGGGCTAGAAAACGAACGCGAAAATATCAAAGATGGCGCGAGTCTGCCACATGTGGAATATTGCACATTCGTTGCATTCGCAGATGGTTTTCATGAAATTTACGATCTTATGCCGGACGAACGCGACGGCTCATAAAGCTCAAATTTGAGCCTTATGAGCCGATGATACTTATGATGCCAGACGTATTTTTGGCACTTTCTGGGCAGCTACGAAAATGCGCCGAAACACCAATGTTCTTTCTATTTAAATGTACCTATTGTCTGAGTTCCCTACCGACATATCCTGTAATCTTTAAATAAAACTCTTTAACTGTTTAAAACACGATATATCGATAATCGAAAAGTCGTCGAATTAATGTGTTTCTTTATATTCGGAATAATCTGATAGTCAATGGCTACATTTTTGTACCGTGATTTTTTTATAACTTGCCTATTTTTTTTGTATTGTATCATCGAAAATCCACACAGAATAGACCGTTATATGCCTACTTAGACAAAATACACAATTTCCATTCATCCGTAAACAAAGGTCCTCAAAGTAATTCATTCATAACTGATCAAATGTTCTGGTACCTGAGAGTGGATGCAATATTTGTAAAGACGTTTAAGCCTTTCCGATTATTTCCTGAGTGTCCTTTTTTTTACACATTAAAGTTTTATTTTGTACTTAAGTCTTTAGATAAAGAGCGCGTGTAAGACACACTTAATAATGAGTCAGGAATTGTCGACACATAAAAATCTTTATACATTTTGCATTTTAAGCAGTTAAAAGTTAGTTTATATAAAGCCGCTTATTTTAAATTAAATTATAATCATGTCAAAATTATAAACATGTTAGTCACTAAGAAGCTTTGTCGCGCAATGAAACCTTATTGATGCGTTTTCCTGCAGTTATTGGAAATCCTAAGACCAAATTAGTTTAGAAGATATTCGTGTGAAGGTTATTTTTCAAATCGATGCTCATTATTGCACTAGCTGTGTACCCACGACATCGTCCACATCCCGTTTTTGTTGCGAGTTAATCTTAAGTTCTGTTTTTTTTCATCCTTTTAATTGTATTATAAGACACGATAATTCAACGAAAAAGTGTTACAGGCAATATAACCTAAAATTGTTGTTAATAATATGTACCTCATAGGAATTATATAAAAAGCACTAGATCGGTCTCAATGAAATTTAGAATTAATCGCAAATTACTTTGTATCATAATCTATATCTATACTAATATATAAAGCTGAAGAGTTTGTTTGTTTGAACGCGCTAATCTCAGGAACTACGGGTTCAAATTGAAAAATTCTTTTTTAGAATTTCTGGTTTTTAACATTTATTGACAAGGGCTATAAAACTGTGACAAATAGAAGCGAGGATACAGCGGGAAGATGTGATCAAAACGGCGAAATTTGTCATCTCTGTGGGTTTCAGATCTCGAGACCAAAAATATGTATGAAAGAATTATCCTTTTTATATAATATAAAAAAATGTCCTCGACACTATGTATATCTTTTAAGATTAACTTGCAAGAACTACGGAACCCGAACGACAGGACCCGAACCACGGGATCCGAACGACGGGACGCGACTGATGTCGTGGGCAGCTTAAATTTATAAAGATGTAGATAGTAGAGGTTTGCAAAAACAAATTTGGATGGCCAAAATAACTTTACTACGCGGACGAAGTCGCTGGTACAGCTAGTAATTAATATAAATGTGGTAAAATATTTTATCCTTGTACATTGAGCAGAATTTTCAAAAACTTAGTGTGGGTGGTACAAAGTGTCATTCACTTTTAAC